TATATCAGAGCAAATAAACATGACAACCGAGCCAATTTTCCATGACCGTGCCCAGCAGTCACGTGCCTGGATTGTCCACTGGAGCCTTTTACTTCCCCAGCAGAAAAGAGCTTAAACTCAGCACTAACACAGCACAGAGAGCGTGGGCTTTCAACTCCAACAGCAACTGGGCTTGTTGCATCTCGTGTTTCATGCCCAAGTTCATTTACAGGTCCAGTGAAACACAAGATGAGTCACCCTGGGAGGCCAAGTTCCTTCAGGCAGCTGCAACTCCCCAGGTTGCCCCTGTCCCACAGAGAGGCCTCTTCTCTTCTGGATACAAATCCCGCAGGAGACAGACCTATGGCAATGCAGGGGGTGAGGTACAGGATCAGTGGGACAGCTCGGCACCACTGTCAACCCTTTAACAAACCCCAGAGCCTGACGGACTTATAAGGCCAGAGTTACAAAGCACTTACTCCAACCTGAGCACTCTGGTATTTATTCCATGACATCAAGTACAGGATCACACTACAGATAATTTAATCCAGCCTGCACAATACCATGCAAATGAATCAATAATGCAGAAGTTGTATCTCATTCCAAAGATCTGCCCTTCTCATCAGCACCAGCCACACCAGGGATACCAGACCAACTGCAGGCACCTGACAGGGGTAGGAAGGCTCCAGATGGAAAGGGGAAGAACACAGAGCCATGCAATCAGCCTTTGCCGAGCTGAGCACAGCTCTGTTCCTGCACCAGACCTTCAGCAGGTTCAAGGTACAAGGCTGCAGGCAGAGGCTGAGCAAATGATTAACCATCACAGAGCGGCCGCAGCCATGGGGGCGGAGGCAGGAGCGGGTTCCGTGACCTCCCGTGGGATGAGGCAGATGGCTTGTGTCCCTCTGGGTGTCCCTCTAGGTGGATCTTCTCAAAACCAGTGCCCACAGCATGGGCTGCAACAGGGCTCCAGCACAACCCTGCTGGCCTCTCCAGCAGAGCCCTCCACAGCCCCCCCAGTATGGAGCTGGGAAAGCCCCAGGGCACAGCCGAGTGCCTCCAGCACCTACCAGACTTCCCAAGAAGAACAAAAACCAGGCTTCTCCCCCCTCAGCCAAAAGGGAAGACACAAGCTTAAGGCTGCATGGAAGGCCTATTTTTATGACTCACTACAAATCACACTATTGTCATCTAGAGTGGGATGAGAACAATGAAAAAGCAGTAATTATCCCAAAACCCCAGCAATTCCCCTCCTTTTGCACCAATGACCCCAGGAGCCACCGAGCACAAAGAGCCCTCAATGCCTTTAAAGCAATTCTTTCTCTTTCCTTTCAGGCTTTCAATAATGCCCTTTGCACCCCTGCCAGAGCAGAGGCAGTGCCAGAACAAGGACCACGAAGGTCAGAGGCAAAGATTCAAACAATGCAGGAAATCCCATCGCCCGCCGCTGCCAAAGTACGCGCTGGCAGCGTGTGAGACGGCCTGAGCGCTGAGCAACAAAGAGGGCTGGTAATCAGTTTAATTGAAGACAAGCAGAAAATGATAGTGTGCATTTGAGATGGTTTCGCTGTCCTCCAGCAGCCGACATTTTGTCTCCCGCTGATAAAAGGACGCGAAATAACTCCCTGGGAAGTTTAACGCGACCAGGCAGCTCGTGAGGGAACAGGCAGTGACAGGACCCCGTGCTGCTGCTGTGGAAGGCACACCACGCGCAGCAGATCTCACAGCCAGCACCAGCTCCCTGCCCGGGGATGGCAGGAAGACTTTGCAGAAAAGGAAATAATTAGAAAGCACATGGGACGGACCTGAACTGAACCGAGGGAGCACAGCCGGGATCTGCATCTCAGACAGGGCTCCAGCCCTCCACAAACTCTAAAGGCTGCTTATCCCAGCCATGGGATGAGCTAGGAGCAAACCCTGACCAAAGCTGAGGGGAACAAACACCCTTTCCTGTCCCACAATAACACCACCATGCTCAGGACAAACACAGCTTTACTCACCTTCATGAGGGACTGACCAACTTCTTCTGCTGAAGCCACAGCACAGATTTACAGATCTGATCTGAACCAAACCAGTGACACTTGTGCAGCTAAACCACCATTACCAGTCAGGCAGAACTGCTGCCTGTGACAGAACTGTGCCTGATGAGCACAGAGAACCACACACAGTCAGGTGGGTGAAGGCTGGTGACAGAAACCATTTAAAAATCAGTGTGATGGAAGGTTGAACTCATTTTCCACCCATAAAACATCAAACCACAGCATTTGTAATGTCACCAGGCAGCACTTCTTCCTGGAAAACTCCTAGCAGTATTTCCTAACTTAGATTTGATATTCAACACGTTTCTGTCTTTCACAGAATGATGAAATCAGGTTTTGACTGGCCATTTTAGGAACACAAACACAGCATTTGGCTGGTTTCATTCTGTTTGTTTGTTTTAACCACCTTACAGGCTCCCTTCCTGTCAACCTGAAATTGCTGCAAGCCCCGAGCTGCAATCAATAATGACAGAACAGCCAAGTTTTGCTCTGAGTAAGAACCAACATTCCCATCACAGCTGTCTTCCACAAGCTGACTATTGGGTTTTGATCCCATGCACAGCGTGGCACTGCAGCAAACTCGCCAGGCAGTCACCTGCTGTGACACTCAGTCTTGGGTCATTCGTCCCCTTTCCTGCAGTCCCACTTAGATCAGGGTCCAGACAAGAGGAAATAACACATAAGATTCCCCCATATGAGATTTTCCTTCCCAAAGACACTCAGGCTGCCCCCTGCACTCGAGCTCTTTGCTTTGCTGAGTCACCTGCACCGTCTGACTCCAGGGCATTCTGTTCCTGTCGTGTCACTGCAGCCTTTGTAAGGACCCAAACCCCATCAAAGGGGGTGGTGAGGCCCTGGCACAGGTTGCCCAGAGAAGCTGTGGCTGTCCCATCCCTGGAAGTGTCCAAGGCCAGGTTGGATGGAGCTCTGAGCAGCCTGGGCTAGTGGAAGGTGTCCCTTCAATGGCAGGGGGTGGAACAGGGTGGGCTTTTAAGGTTCCTTCCAACCCAAAGCATTCAGGGATTCTGTGGTTCTCCTGCTGGAGTTGTCCTTTCCCCTCCTCTCACTCTTGCTGCTTTGCCTCTGTTAACACAGGTCTCTTCAAAACATCAGGTCCTTCTGAAATGACACTTGTGCACAGACACAGGAGGTGCCACAGAGCCCCCACAGCAAGGGAATTAGAAACTCCTCCATCTTGGAATGTGATACATTTGGCATTTGTAGGAGAGAACTCCTCTTCCCCAGGGCAGCTTTCACTAGAGTCAGGGTTTCAAACACAGAAACTCAGTTTAGGGAAGAGCAAAACATGACAAAGTGCTTCTTCCATGAGAGCAGTGGGAAGATCAAAACTCTTAAGATGAAGAACAGCATTAAAGCTGTGTGGAACTGACTACAGGTCAGGCCAGTAACAACAACTGAGCTGCAGAAACACCCATCATTTATCATCCCAGGGCTTAGAAACTCCACTGGATCCAAGCCACTCACCCTCACTGACTGCTGCTTGAAACAACCCCAGGGTAGCAGGTGTTTGAACCTCCCATGTCAGAGACACCCCCAGCTCATCCAGAGACACCCTCACCTCTCCAAGAGACTTCCCCACCTCATCCAGAGACCTCCCACCTCACTCAGAGACATTTCTTCCCTGTGAAGGTGGTGAGGCCCTGGTGCAGGTTGCCCAGAGAAGCTGTGGCTGCCCCATCCCTGGAAGTGTTCCAGGCCAGGTTGGACAGGGCTTGGAGCAACCTGGGATGGTGGAAGGTGTCCCTGCCCATGGCAGGGCGTGGAACTGGATGGTCTTTAAGGTCCTTCCCAACCCAAACCAGTCTCTGATTCTATGAAACTACATCCTTCTCCCAGCCCTGTTGTCCTTGTCAGACACTTCCAAGAGGAACCCCTTTTCCCCCCATCCCCGAGAAAGGGAATTTTCCCTTTCCTCTCTTGCACACATACACAGAGCAAAGCTCACTCCAGGTCATTCCACCCCACTCCCGATATCCATCCCTAGGGAGCCTCCACAGCCCCTCCAACAGGGCCCAGTTCTGCCCTGGTGCTGGGCAGGGCTGGTTCCCCCCCCACTGCAGGCCAGGCAGCCCCCTCACTCCCAGCAGTTACACAAGAGGCTCCTGCCTTACAAAATAAGGGGAAAAAACGCTGGAAATGAGGTCAGAGTTGAACACACCAAAGCATTTTTCTTTCTGCAGACCAGGTTCGTGGGGTGCTGAGGGAGGGAGGAACAGGAGTTTAACCCTCTGAGGCTCTGAGTGTGCTGAGCCCTGCAGAGCTGAGCTGTCTCTCGTATCTGTTTGACTGAAGCACAGCCCCGGGTGCTGCACAAGCACTTCCCCGGGCTGCCCCGCAGCCGACAAGCACGGGGTAAATGGGTCAGACGACCTCGGCAGGGCCTGGGCTTGGGAAGAAGGGATTAAATTCTGTCCCAGGCTTCTCACTGTACTTCTGGGAAACCTCTTGAGCTGAAAATCTCTCCGGGTAAACGAGGAAGGCACCAGGGCTGGGCCAAGCGCTGCTGGAGGCATTGACACCCGCGGGGTCCCCCCGGCCCGGCCCCGCGGCTGCCCCTCGCCCCGTGCTGTCACAGCCGCTCCGCGCTCCCAGAGGCGGCGGCCCCGCGCGGGCAGCGGAGACACTGTGGGAGCCCGCTCCGCTCCGCTCCGCTCCCCTCCCAGCGCGGAGTCGCGGCCCGGGCACGCGGGGCAGCGGGAGGCCGCCCGCACGGAGCTCCCCTTGCCCAGGGGGCGGCTCGGTGCCCCCCCGCCGCCCGGGGGGCTCAGCCCACGCCGGTGCCCCCGGGCCCGGCCCGTCCCCGCCCCGCTCTCACTCACCCGCCGCCGCCGTCACTTCCGCCTCCATCGCCCGCCGCACGGCGGAAGTGACGTCACGCCGCAGGGCGGCCTTTCCGCCCGGCCGCGGTGGCGGGGCCGGCGCGGACCCCGCGACAACAAACGAGTCCGGGCAGCACCGGGGAGCCACAAACACACATCTTTAATGCGCTCAGAACCGCGGCGGGAACAGCGACAGGCGCGTACACAGGGCAGCCCCGAGCGCGCGCCCGCCGCCCGCCCCTCCCTTCCCCCCCTCCCTCCCCCCCCCCGCGAGCGCAGGTTACAAAAAACAACACGTGAAACCGCGGAATTCGGTGTAAAAACGGACCCGGAGGGAGAGAGGGAGGGAGGGGGGAGGGAGGGGCGCATGCACAGGGGACTGACACCGGGAAGCCGCGGATGGAGGAGGAGGGATGGGGGAATGCTGGGCGGACCCGCACAGCATCGACGGACCCCCCCGGGAACGGTAATTAACGGCCGTAATTAACCGCCCCGCCCGGCTAATGAGCAGCGCCCGGCTCGGCGGGACACAAGGGCTTCACTCGCACAACTCCCACAAAACGCCGACCCTGGATGGCGACCAAGGGCTGGCACAGCCGGGCTCCTTCCTGCCCTCCTGGGACACAGACCCGGTTACAGATCAGCGGGCGCTGGGACACCTCCAGCCGAGGCACCTCTGCCCCCTTCTGCCTCCCTGGCCTTGGGAACACACCAACGCTTTTGGCTGCAGGTCAGAAAGTCCCCCAGGGGAAGTTCTGGCTGCAGAGTGCACAGTAAACAGCCAGATGAAACCAGCCTCGGTCTCCCACTGCTTTGCTCACACCCACTGTCTGACCTGTAAAGGGACTAAAATCAGACCTGAGCCCATTTTAGAAACGTGCTCCAGCTGATCTGGTCACCCTCACAGCTTTCAGAATAAATCAGGGCCAAATTTTACCTGTCTTGCCTCAGCTGGACAACTGAGGCAACTCAGGTGCTGGAGACATGAAAATGAGGTGGCTAAGCGCTAAAAGGGATTAAAAAAAAAATTCAGGATTTTCTTTTGACATACATAAACAAAAGGAAAAACAGAATAAAGTGAGGACCAGCACTACTGGTGTGCTCACAGAGGGTCAGGGAGGGCTTTTGGGAAGGGCTGAAGCGTTACAAAGGTCAGGGCAGCTCAGGGCTCCAGGCACAGCAATGGCCCCAACCACTGTCAGGACAAACACAGGGTGTCCACACTGGCCTGGGCTCAAAACCATCCATCCAGGTTTATTTATTCCTACTAAAACAAAACCCTGTTAAACAGTACGTAACTCTTGTGTTCTCTACAAACTCACAGCTATCTGCCAAACAATAAAAACCCCAAACTACAAAAGATGAGTTGTATTCAGTAAATATAAATGGGAAAATTTAGGCTTTTGTGTAGAATGTTTATCAGACTATTTACAGTGCAACACAGATCGTTTTTGAGTTCAGATCTCTCCAGCTTCTCTCTCTTCTGACCTCTTGGAACGAGATTTGCCGTTTGTGCTCTCGTGCCGCCTCTCAGAAGAGCTCTTGTCTTTCCTCTCTCTGTCTCGGGACTTTTCTCTCGAAGACCGATCTCTGGAAGATCTGAAGCACAAATGAAACCACCTCTATCAGCTTCACAGCTCAAAACTGTCAGTCACCCACAAAGTGACACCACCACCTTTCCCTCTCAGGGCTGTGGGGCAGCACAGGAATGTGCCTACGGGTCCCCACGGTGGCAGCTCTGGGCTCTGTGGGGTTTCCATGAGGGAACACCGGCTCTGGACCCTCTGTCACTCCTTCCTCACAGTGATCCTTTCAAGCTGTGGCCCCAGGGGCTCTCTCAGGTCTTCCCTGGGCCCCTTATTAGTTTTCTGGACCACACTAAAGCACCTGCAATTTTTTCCTCAGCTCTGACTCAGCTCTGCCCGTGCCTTCCAGAGCAGTTTTTCATTTTGCTCTAAGCTTTCTGTTCACCTGCTTTAAATACCAACTGGATTCTTTGCTCCCTCAGCCCTGGGCTTTTCATTTTGCATCCTGACAAACACTGGCCTTGGCAGCATCCCGGGTTCAGAATCAGGATGACACAGATTTATATTGTACATCTTTTCATGGCCCTGCCCGAGTGACAGCTACACATTTTCAGCAGCTCTTCCCCGTGTCAGCCCACACAGAATTAAGCAGGAGGCTTCATATTGCTTCCAGTCTGAAAGGCTGTGTCTTGTGTGATTCATGTCAGCTTATGGAATAGCAGAATTCCAAGGGAGCTGATCCTGAGGGAGCTCTAACAGCCCATACCCCTTGGCAAAGGTGCCCACATTTTACTCCAAGGCTCAGTACACAGGTTTTTCCTTACAGACACAAGAAGAGGCCCTGGCAGGTACCTCAGAGGTTCCAGCTTTCATTCTTGTTGATTGTAAGGTTTGAAAATACTTCACAATTGATAGATCAAAACCTTACAGCCCTTTGGTGTCACAAGAGCCATTTCATTGTCATTAAACTCTGTCACTTAACCAGAACATATCACTCTGATGAGATTAACTCTCTACCTGTTCCCACAAGAGCACCTGCTGCCTGCAATCCTCCTACCCCGAGACCTCCAGATCCTGTGACACTCTCTCTTTCTTTCTGCAAGTGAGACCTCAGACCAGCAGAACCTGAGGGCTGGTTCCGTTAATTCTCACAGTGAAAAGAGAAACTACACCTTTTTCAGGAAAAGGGATTTTCCTGTTTGTTCTCTTGTTTTTGCTTTATTTTCTTAAACTGATCCTGGCCTGTCCCCAGTTCTCAGCAATTTTGTGCAGGTGTGTCAGTGCCAATCCCCCTGCAACTTCGATGGGCTGGTTTGGATGTGACCAAGGGTTCCGAAGTAATCCCTTACCTGCTCTTTAGTAAAAGTTATTACAGGATCTTCCTCACTTCCTAATTGTCCAAACTTCTTTTCTTTATTTTTCATGTTCAAGACAGATTTAAAAAAGCACTTTAGTATCTCAGCCATTGGAGAATCAACAGTATTTACACCCCCCCTCAATTATTAACAGGCTTATTTTTCAGACCATTATTTCCCTCCCCTTCAACAGGTACCTTTAAAAGCTAAAGTGACACAAGACACACAACAATAGGTTTGTTTCTGGAGTTGTAGTCCAGTGGCCTAATCAGGTGAGACAGTGCTAAAGCACTCCTCTATTAATCAGGAGTATTTAAAAACAGCCAATCTAACTTCAGCAAGCACCTGGAGACAGACTTGCTGCTGGGCTAAGAGGGGCTGTAAGGAGATGCAGTGATTCCATTCAGTGTTTCTAATACTCCTACACCCTTGTCTCATCCTTCCTCCAACACAGAGGTTGTTTTGCTGAGTTCCACAGGAGACTTAAAGCCCTTCTTTGAACTGTAGTGCTTCTCCTCAGCAACAGGAGAATTGTATACTCCTCCTGGATTCCTTTTTCCCTCCCTCTAGTGCTGATTCCTAAAGAATTCTCTCTCTCTCAAGCAGCCTTCTAACAGACTTGCCTGAGACCCCAAATCATACACTTCTCTCCCCATGCCAGCACTGAGAGGAGGAATCTGGGAAGCAGAACAACAGACCACGTAACATCAAAACTGCCTCTCAGTCACTTGGCTTTTGCAGTCCTAGGGAGGCTCAGTTAGCTCAGACAGACCTTGGTGCTGCTCCTCATACAAGAAAACCAGGAGTGTCTCAAGGCTCAGCACTGCAATCAGGGAACCAATTCTACCTGCTGGACTCTCCTCTCAGCTGGGATCTTGCTTTAGAGTTACTGCCCTCACATGAGGCCACTGGGAAATCCTGCTCTGGCCCAGGCCCCGGCACAGGCCCCTGCAGCTGCTGCTGAGAGCCACGGGATGGGGAGTCTGTGAGCCAAGGGCTCCCCTCTCCAGAAGCACTCCTGCCAGGAATACATACTTGTGTTTTGAGCTCCTGTCTCTGGAGCCCCGGCGGTGCCCTCGGCTGTGGCTGCGGGAGCGGCTCCGGTGGCGCCGGTGCCGGTCCCGGGACCGAGAGCGGGACTTCCGCCGTTCCCGGGACGCCGACCGGGAGCGCCTTCGCCGCCTCTCCCGGGACCGTGACCTGCAGGGGACACAGGCTGGCTCAGGCTCAGGACACAGGCAGTGCCTGGGATCTGCACACCTGAGCCCACCCCTCCGACATTCCCGAGTTACACATACCCAGAGCATCAGCACTCGCCCCTCCCCAGCCACATCCCTGCCAGCACCCACACCCCCTCCTCCTGCACCTACCAACAAAGTGCCAGTGGATAATACAGTTTTCTGGGGAGTTTATATAAAAAAGCTCCCACCATTATTATAAGCACATGCCAAGGGCCAGGGCAGAGCTTACAACCCTGCCTCACTCAAAGTGTGAAAGCAGAAAAGAGGCCAAAGTAAGTAGCCTGTTTATTTATTTTAAATTACCATAACCCTAAGAGAAGCCTCCCTTGTGAAAGCCCTGCACTTTAGAAGCAGATTTGTTTCAACCTGCTCTAAAACCAAGAAGGATGCCAGAGGGAGATCTCCAGGTCCATGATCACACAGAATGCTGTCATACAATTCAGACACACTCTTCTAGAGATGTGGGGGGGTTAATCTTGCATCAGTATTTTCACATTTGAGGTATTACATATGTAACAGATATTTCAGACATTAAAACTATGGAAGTATATCAGTATATGCCTTGGAAGAGGCACCAAGGACATTCCTGGACTCACTCTGGAGCACACAGACCCTGTCCTGACCAGGCTGCTGTACACCCAACGAGGGACACCAAGCTGAGCAGCACCACTGAGGTGCCCACGCTGTAGTTCCCATTTTTTTCAGGGAGTAAACCAAAGAGACTGAGGCACTGAGTGAACTCCATTTGTGAGACCCAGGAAAAACCTCAGCAGTTAAGACACAAACACAAACAGGCATTTGGTAGAACTGTAAAAGTGGGCACTCACCTTCGACGATCTCTATTTCTTGATCCAGACCTAGAGGGAAGAGGAGAGTTAAGTGAGAGAAGTTATGATAAAGCCAGTGGGTTTTCAATAGAAAAACTCATCCACGCTGGCAGCTCTTCACAGGAACACAGCAATACCCCAAGTGATGTGTCAGTTTAAAAAAAGCTTGCCATTAAAACATTTAATTAGCTTCAATTTTGTGAGCAGCGAGAATTTGTCAAAAACTGAAGAACTCTGTGGAAACACCAGTTTCTGCTTGCAGAGCTTCCTGTCACAACAGAAAAGGTCTAGAAACCAGTTTAGTCTCTGATAAAGCATCACAATGAACCTTTCTAGGTTTACTGTGCACATTTGTTATATATCCTTTACCCCCTGCAGTCTAACATCAGCTGGATCAACTCTAGATTTTCAAGAAGTGCCACTCTCCAGTCAGAAAGACACTTGACAGATTTCTGGTTTTGGTTCTTTTGAGGCAGTTGTAATTTGAAAAGGTTTTAGTAAAGAGAAACCAACACCTTCTACCTCATTGCATTTGTTAAACAAATATTAGAGGAAAATTTGCATCAATATTTTATCCCTGTCTGGGAAACGTGAACTAGAAAAAAAGAAGGGACACAGCCAAAAGGGAAGAGCTGAGAAGTGACATATATAAACTTGAAAATCCTTCATCCCTGACTTAAAAAGCACTTGAGAAGAATAATCCAGGCCTCACTATTCTTTCTCACATTTCCATGGCTTCAGAGCTCATGTGTGGCACTCCCAGCTTACTGCTGTCAGCTTTTGACATAAACAATGTCACAATTCTCTCAACTTCTGCACACCATTACTCAGCACCACTTAAAATACCACAGCACGTGCAAGACCCGCCCTCCCTCTTCCTCTGTGGCCACATCTCAGAGCCAGCTCATACCAAACTGTCACGTGCTGTCTGCACAGTCTCGTTTTGCTTTAATTAAGAAGTGGCGGATCTCCCTGTTCAGTGACTTAGAGACTCACTCTTGTAACTGCTCCCCACTGCACAGACTTACAGGGGTGTTGCATTCACACCCCTGGCACTGTAGCAGATGTGGCTGAAAGCTACACACAAATATTTAAGAAGCAATAGAGAAGCATCTGTTTTAATAACATTATTTTAAACCCACACCTGGGTAAGACACAACTGTGCAAATCAATGGGCACCGAACATTTCTTCACAATGAAATGGGGTTCTTCAGTCATGGTAGAAAGCCAAAGAAACCCCAAATTTAGAGGGGAATTCAGGTAGGACTGTAAACAAGGTGAACTTGGGAGTCTGCAAACGAGCCATGCACTGAGGCAACACACAGGAGAAGGTGAAGGAAAAGCTGATAAACCATGAGAGCAAGGCAATAACCACATACCTATAACAAAACCTGACAGAGCAGCAGGACCTCCTGGAGGTGGCCTGGCAGGCAGATGAATTGTTTTGGTGGTTGCAATTACTCCAAGTTCTTAATGTTCTTTTCACTCTGATCACTTTATTCCGAACCACCAGTGCACACATCCTCACAAAGCCCTTCCACGGCCCCTGAAAAGCCTGGCTGCCCTCCCCTGCCTATGATCCGAGAGGAACATGCACAAAAAATTCCTGATAATCATTCCCCAGAGTCACACTTCAGATTTCAGGAAGTATCCAACAAAACAGCTCTTTTCTTACTAGCCTGAATCACCAGGAGACAAAAGAAGACTGCTGTCCAGAGGAGCAAGAGGCTGAGCATGTCTATTTTCTTTATTTTTTCCTCTTTCTGGTCTCTGTATCACAGGCTTTGTGCTGAATTTCATAATCTGTCTTTTGTGCAGCCTAACACAAAGGAAATCCATTTGGCAACTCCACTGGACTCGTTTGCTGGTGTAGCCTGGAGGCAAACACTGAGGGCTGCACTTCCAAGCATGCCACCTCTCCACAGAATTCCAGTCTTCCAAGATTACTGGGTACCCAACAGCCACCAGCAACACCAAACAAACAACTTGTGTTTATTTACCACTAAGTGTGACAACCCAGTTCACTCATTCCTATATGGAATGACAGTTTATCGACAAATTAATAAACAGCTGAGAGAGGCAGAGTTTCACAAGGGAACCCACAGGTTCCCAGAGTATGTCACAGTGCCTGTCAGTCACCAAAGACTCCCAAAGTCAAGACACACTCTCTCTTACTGAGTAACACCGTGAGGATGCTGCACATGAGGATATGACAAGAAGAGTTCTGCAGGAAACATGTTTCCTCTGGTTCCTTAAAGTATCAGGCTCTGGATAAGAGGCTGTTTGAAAAGTGGTAGAAGTCACCAGTCAGTTTTTGATGGAGAAGTGCCCCTGTGAGTATGGTGTGCACAGCTCCCAGCGGGTAAGGGGCTGGGAAATCTGGGATGTAACCTCAGTTCTGACATTGGGAAAACTATTGTCCTCCTTTGGGTCAAGGTCTCATTTTGGAAAGGCAATTAATTTGACCTCCTCTGTATGGCACTCCTGGCTCCTTCATAACAAGTTTTCTCATGGTATCTGAGCAGGGGAGCACACAGGTGCCTCCACACAGAGCCAGCCATGGTCTCTAAGCAGTGTCACACATGGAAGCAGCCAGAACTCAGACTTTAGGCCAACTCAGTGCAGTTCTTAAGCCCTTCTTAAGCCATAAATAAACACTCAAAAGCCATCTTCAAACCCCCTCATCAGGTGCATCCATACATGAACTACCTACGAACACAAAAGGCTCCTTAATGTTCAAGAACTGAGGGTTTGGGGATTTTTTAAAAAAACACAAAAACAAAACCCCAGACACACCACAGGAAAGGCAGCGTTTTTGGGGAGATGTGGATCAACTAAGAGATCCAGAGGATTCTTCCTGAAGGCAACTCTGTTGAGCAATTTCCACACAGAAATGACCTCCAGGAAGAAGAGGCACCATGGAGGCAAACTGAATCCAGACCAGGTACAGTCCTGCTGTGGGTCTGAAAGAGCCTGTCATGAAACAGCTGCATGGGAAGACACTTCCCATTTCACTTCTACCTCTCTGACCACTGCAGCAGCCACAGCAGTCCCTTCTGATGAACTCCTGCACTCATCAGCTAGTTCCAGATTCTGCAGCTCCCAAATTTAACTGGATTACTGACAGTCTTGCATGGATACCAGAAAGTTGGGAGGCTCTCCAGAAGGTGCTGTTCAGCAGAATGCTGCAGCATAAACTGGCACTTCATATCCTACCAGGCAACCCAGAGAGAGAAAACCCATATAAAACACCCTAACTGATATAATAATATGTATAATACATAACAATTTGGGGTTTACATCTTTCACATTCCATCAAAATCACCAAGCTGCTTCATTCCGGTGTTTATTTGTCAGCACTTCCACTAATTATAGCCAGAGGCCAGCACCATCTTAGAGCACAACTCAGTTACAAATCTCATCTGCCTCAGATAAACTCACTCTTCAGCTGACACCAAAGGTCAAAGGGAGCTCTCCACAAGCAGGAAGGTTGGGGTTTTTTTGATGTAAGAAGTACAAGAAGAGAAACACATGCGGTAACTGAGGAGATGTTGTAACAATGAGAACAGCATTCCCACCCTGCCACTTCCTCTGCCTGAGCCCTGCAAATAACCACCCTCCCCACATAGGCTGTTTAACTGAGCTGTTTACACACAAGGTGCCTCTTCACTTCAAGTACAGAAGAAATTGTTTTTCCAGTTCAGCTGGCAGGAAGCAGAAAAGCTTGTCCTGAGAATACCAACGTTCCAGCCACTCCCACTGCTCAGGAATTACAGACATCTGAGCAGAAGGTGACACACATGGCCACAACCACCAAAAGCAGTCACACCTTGGGATCTCCTGGATACCAAAGCCGTGCCAAAAGCACCTCACTGTTACTGCAGAAAAGTTTTGGAGCAAGACAGGCAGCCTCCCATTTAGCTCATGGATACCAGCTCCACACTGTTGTCACCTACGAGACTAGAATTGAGGAGGCCTTTCCAAGGAATTTCTGCATGACCCTTTTGAGTAGACCTAGTCCTCACTCATCTTGAACTTTCCCACTCAGATGCATTGGATGAGGGTATTTTATCCATATTCAGATTCCCAAGGACAGGGACTAGACCAATATAAGCCTGAAGACTGCAGGGAGCTCCCATCTTTCAGACACAATGGAAGTTGAGGCAATACACATACAATCACTCTGTGGTGGGGGTTTGTGCATGTGTTTCCATCTTTAACTGAATCCCAAGGTGCTCACACAGTATCCAGAGCTCATCCAACAGCTACTCCAGCAGCAGATGCTGTGTTCCTGCAATGCTAAGGTATGAAAAATCAGACTATTTAAAACCCAACTTCACAAGCCAGCTGTCAGGTCCCACTTACCGTCTGCCCATCCTCTCCTCTCGTTCTCTCTCCTCCCTCCGTCTCAAACGATCCTGGTTTCTCTTCTCTTGCTTTTCTGCCACTGTTTTCTAGAAAAAAAACCAACAACAGTCTACCTCATATTTCAGCCACACAGTCACAGGTCAGAGATCTGCAGGGAGACCCTTCCCAGAGCAAGACAAAAAACCATTTCACTGCGTTTTATGTGCTACTCGAGATCTCTATCAAGGTTTTCATTTTCCTCAGTCAAGGCACTGACCTCAATATACTGAGGGAGGCACAGGAACCACAGCTCTTACTAGAGCAGGCTAAAGGTCTCTGTTTGCAAGCAAGGCCCATGCCACAACCCATTACAAACCTCTTCAGAAAACTCCTAATGGCTTCAGCTACTCAAGACCTTTTATGCTAACATGAAACTTCAGTTCACACACTATGTGAAACTGCAGTTCCAACATCTCATTAAGAGGCCTCAGAGTGACAAATTTCAGCCATATCAACCAGAAAAATACAGGTGACTGTACCAATGCCCTAAGGAATAAATGACAGCCATGGTCTGGTTTGACTGATTCCAAGGGTAGATATTTAGTTACCCAGAAAATACAGAACAGAACCCAAGACGAGGCTAAAAAAGGCTCCATTTGAAGTTTCAGGGATTCTGCAATTGGAAGATTCTGAGCTTTTACAAGCACTCTGCCAAGAATTTTGTATTAATTTATTAGAAGCGTTCAATGTCTTCGAAACTACAAAGAGAAGGTTTAAAACAGAGAGGATTACCCTCAGCTGATCCAGTTTCTCACGAATCTGAATGAAACCCAAGTGTAATTTGCCTCCAAAGTGGTCAGCAAGACGCCGGTCGTTGTCATGGAGACCCAGATATGCTGAACAGACTTCACACACACGCAGCTTCTGCTGCTGGAAACTGGATGCAGGCATTGAATTTCGGTATTCCTCCTAAAGGGAGGCAAGAAAACCCACACAAGTGTCAGGGAAGCCTTGCATTGTCACAACCCTCCAGGGAAACCCCTGCAAAGAATGGCTTTCAAGAATGAAAACCCACCCCCACACAAAGGAGGTGCCACACAAACGCTCTGTGGGCACAGCTCAGCCCGACAGTCTGTCCCTGCAAAGGAACAGTGACCAAATATTCCAGAGGACAAAGCCCTCCCCGCCCCAGTCAGCTCTCTGCACTAGAGAAAAGTTTCTAAAAAGCTTTTCATCCACTGCCAACTGCTTGCTGGCACATGGCTGAAACTGGGAAAGGAGGTGCTGGCAACACAGGGGCAGAGGTGGGAAGTGCTCAGCTGTGACATGTACTCAGCCCAGGCCCCTGTTGCAATCCACAGAACCAATCCCATACCTCTGCCTCTTTCTTTTTTGCCCGGACTTTCTCCACTTCCATCAGGATCTTCTGAGACTCATCAACATTTCCTTCAGCTCCCAGCTGTTCAGCTTTAGCTAGGAGTTTTCCAATGTCTTCATTCAGCTCGTGTACTTTCTCTGCCTAAAGAGAATAGTTAGTTTTTAGTAAGACAGAAACGCGATAAAGCTTGCAGGAAAACTTCTCCCTTCTCTTTAAAAAATACTGTTTAACTAAATCAGTTGCTGCAAGATGACCATAAATCTCCAAAAGTCAAGAGGCCCAACAAAAAGGGATTGGTGGGCCAATCACAACAGTCACCAACACCTGGTAAAGAGAGAAACTGGGCATGGAGAGGACATCATCAGTTCTGCTGCAAACAGCAGCACATTTCTGGCTTACAGGACAGCACAGAGTCCACAAAAGCAGCTTCAGAAATGTCCTGGATTGGCCCAGTGAAGCAAGTTCCCAAAGAGGAAACTCCATGAGCATTTGCTAAGTAAAGAGATAACAACCACGGGATGGATTTGCTATTCTAAACCATCAATTATCAGTGGTGTCAGAGACAACAGAGCACCAGAGCTCCCACACAGACTTTCAGAACCAATGTTTAATGAGAGGCCAATACCTTTGCAGACACTTCAGCACTGATCTCTTCCTGTGTCTCAGCCAGGCGTTTCTTGGCCAGTTCTGTTCTCCTATCACACTCTGCAATGAAGGACTCCAGGTGATCCATGGCCTGCATGATCAGACAAAGAATTAGGAATAAAGATGCTCTCCATGCCAGATATACCTTTGACAGCCAACAGCCATCTGGTGTAGTGCCTCTGTAATGCATAAACAATCTCAAGAACAGATGCTTTGGGGAAAAAAAAAAACCAACAAATGACACTTTGCAGAACAAGTGACATTTGACCCGTGCCTGGAACCTGATCCAGTTCCTTGACTCTGACACACCACAGGATGCTCACATCAACACTGCTTTGCACTGAAACTTCCAGAGCAGGAGCAACAGGTGCACAGACAAAAGCACTGGAATAACATGAAAAGGGAAGACAGAATTGTTCTTCCCCTTGATCTGTTCCATCACAGAAAGCTAAATCTGCCAAAAGTAAAACCACTGAGCAGAAGGGTTTTAATGTTAAATCCCCTTCTGGGACAGGGTGCCAGGTTACAATGACCTGGTACAGAGCAGCAGGTGTGGGATGCAAGGAATGCCAGAGGAGCCTCCCAGCTAGTTGGGCTAATGGGGGATGGCAAGTGCCATAATTACTTGTACAGTTCCAAGTCAGCAATCAAGCCCACAGTCAGGAAGGGGCTGCACATCCTGCACTGGTCACACATCAAACACCACGATGAGCTGAAATGGTCACCGAGTTCTACTGTTCAGCTCAGTAACTTCAAGAAGCATTTCCCACAAAAGTAACTAAAACTTCTCCATACTCACATCCAGCTCAAAAAAGAGGTCTCTCTCTTTACTTGCAATCTCATAATCTGCTCGCAGTGCCAAGTCATGGATCTTTGTACATTCTCCCAGGTCCATTCGCTGTGGAAGAGAAAAAGGAAGACTCATGTAAAAACCCTCCATTATGGCAACAAGCAGCAGATCCTTAGCTCTTGCCAACTGCATCACATCAAAATAAAGTCTTTTTAGGAAGAGTTTCCTTCTAACCTATCAGTAATACAACTAGCCAGAAGAACCACATGCTTGCCAGAACCCCTTTTCTAGGTGTTCCTGGAACAACATTAACACACCCCAAATGTTATAAGACCAGCCCTACTCCTGCTTTAGGTCATGGCACAGCCTTAGAAACTGCTGTGAGGGAGCTGGGTCTCCTTCAACAGGCACCAACTGCAAATGTCTCCTCTCATGGAGCCCTAGCACAGCAAAGCATACCTGCACCCTGTTTAAAGCTCACCTGGAAATGCACATCTGTGAAAGGACAAGCCCTAATAACACATTGAAAGATACAAAATTGTAGGACAGAAACAATGCTTCCTTATCAGCAACAAATGGACTTAAAGGAATAAGGTTACAGCCAGTGGAAATGCACAACCCCCTGCTCAGCAACAACAGACTCTTAATTCTACAGCCAGCCCCTTCCCGCACCCAGCTGCAGCCTGGCATTTTAAAGCCTGCCCAGCAAAGCTAAGTCCTACAAATAAGCCCATTTAATGAGAGATTTAAGAGCATCTCCCTTCCCAGAAAGCTCTGACCTGCATGCTGCCCTTCCCTCCCACTGCAGTCAATGCTATTTAAATTTATTTTTCCCCAACCCAGTAGTTAACAGCCACATGAACCCAAGTCGATTATGCTCTCGAAACAGAAATGGCATTTCAACATTATCAATTTGTAACAAAGAACATTTCTCTTATAGCAGAGAAAGAATATGACATTTTGAAAGCCAAAATAACAAAAGCCCTAACTGTGAGCCACAGTAAGAATGGCAGGGTACATGTCAAGGAACACCCCAGCCCTCCATCCTCTTCTCTCCCAGTCACCACCAGTTCCAAGGAGCCCAAACCTGCACACGCACAACAAGTGTCAACTCACTGAACTGCAGGAAAGAGCTGAAGTGGAATAACACAGAATCCCTGTGGAACATCACAAACTAAAGCTTATGGGGACACTTATGTGAAACAATGCACTTGAACAGCAGTGTTTAGCAAAGAAAGCAAACTCCACCAGGTAAGACTCAGGTTTGCAGCAGTTTTTCTTTTTTAGACAAAAATAAACCAATTCTGGATGACTTGCCACTATTTAGCCTTCCTCACTTTGCTCAGATTTACCAGAATAAGGAGGCCACAGGCTACAGAAACAGACACTGCATCCAGAATAGTCCTGCTGAGCTCAAATGGTGGAAATTTAATGCCTACAAAAAAATCCCCATGCTGGTACTTTCAGAGCTTGATCATGTTCATCTTCAGGCAAGCCTCTTCAAAGAATGCTGGAGAGCTACTGTTATTTTACCACAAAAATAACTCTATGATGTGACATATCTTTTATTCTCATGGTCATTCAATTCAGATCACTTTCCAAAACAGGGAGAAATTAATGATATTAGATGTGATTGCCACAAATATTCTTATCTGAACTTTTCTTGCAAGCTGAGCCACTTAACCCCATTTCAGAGAAGGGTCTCCAACCCAAAACTTCAGAAAATGTGCACCTGTTTGTTAACTGGGGAGCACGTTCAGGTCTCACCAGCTTACAAACCTCCAGTCTTCCTCCACGTCGTTTGGGATGTTCTAAGGCAAGGAGATTTTCACAGGTATTGCTCAGATGAGGTAAGACCAGCAGCCCTTCTGCCTCAAAGCATCCTCTCATCCCAGGGAGGGCTGTCATCACTCAGCCTTTCCACAGACATCACAACGTGCTCCAGTCAACACTGGCTGGTTTGTAACACAGGTGACCAGCAGAGCCTGAGTGAAGATTTAACCCCCCATACACACAGACTGCAGACATTTAGATGTCACTGGTTAGTCCTGCTCACATCTTCCTGAGCAATCCACATTCTGAGGTATCTCTTATGTTCTCTGCTGAACTGCTACCTCACCACAGAGTGAAATTTCCACAAAGAAGGCTCTTTAATGGTGATCAGAGCTGCAGAGTTTCACCCAAGCGAAAAAGGAAAGCACAGACACCCCCCCCCCCCCAAAAAAACCTACAGACTTCAGCTCACTCATATTCCCCTGTCAGGGACACAATGTAACTCCCAAGCTATGTTCAACCTGGGCAGCTTTCAGACTCATCTGTCCAGTTCTTAGTGGAGCTGAAATTCAGGAGGATTACCAGCTGTAAATAAGCTACAGTGGTTTTCTTTGGTCTCTGTGGGTAAGGAGGAAAATTTTGGGAGAAGTTAGTTTAGTAAGCCCACGGGTTTTTAGAGAACCTCTGTAGCTTATTTAGTGACAGGTTTAAACAAATTTCTGGAGCCAAAAAGAGAATAATCACAGGAACAATCCAACTTATAATGACAGCTCTTATAACCAGGAACGCTGGTGCACCTGAACAAAGCAACATCAACAGGCCTCCTGCAGCTCTCAGGAATATTCCAGAGCTTTACTGGCAGCCTGGACTCCTTCTCTTAACTCTGCACCTGAAGGTCAGTGAATGGGACTCATTTCAGTGAGCACAGCTGCCCAAGAGATCAGCTTCCTGCTCGCCTCCAATCAGCCTCCCACCAAGGAATGTCTGCACACACAAAGGATGCAGCAGGAACAATGCCTTCAGGGGGAGGATGCAATACAGCCAGCACCAGAAGGCTTGGAGCATCTGTTGGAAGTTTCCAAGAGATCCAAGGCCCTGCTTTCTGCAGCAATACACCTAGAGATGGGTGTTACCCCACCCAGCTGAGGCACTTGCTCACACAGCCCTTCCTTAGCAGAGCACCACAAGGTGCCAATGGAGCTGCCCAGGATCACGAGGGGAGCCTGCACATTCCAGCTCGATTTCATTCCATGCTGCTGGTGCTGACAGCTGAAATGTTGTTCCTGTTCTGGACATCACATGTGCTTTCAACACAGATCTGGGGCACCAGCACTTTTTCTTGCCCCTAGGAAATGGCTGAGAGCAGTGCAGAGCTCCACAGCCACTTCAAGGCCACCACGAGATCACCTGAGTGATCCACAAGATCACTTGTGCAGGAGCAGTTTTATTCCATCCTGTTCTTGCAATTTCTGAGCACAAACTCCACAGCAAGAGGGAAAGGACAACTCCATCAAGACAAGTAACACCAGAAGCAAGAGAAATAGATTCCTCAAGGTGCTTCCCTGCCCTGGGAAACTCATAACCCACCCGAACACCTCACACTTTGGCACCAGCTCCCACAGTCACACACATCACATAGTTCAACCCCTTCAATTCACCATTTACCCTCTCCCTGGAAACCTGCCAGAAGAGGCAGAAGGCAGCCTGCCCCTTCGAAGCACCCTCTGGGCCCCAAAAAACTGTTGTAGAATCTTGTGTCAAAATATACACCCTGACCCCAGTGACCTATGTGAAGGATGGAGGTTTAAAATTCTGAAATGGAAGTGACATGGAGGCTGATGGAGCAATCACTGAAAAACATTATCTGAGGTTCAAATGAATAAAAAAATAAATACACAGAGATTGGTATTCAGCTCTTCCAATCTTATTCAGAGGCATCCACTGAGAAGCTGAAGTTTGAGCAGTCAGAGCTTTGGCTCTTTCTAGCAGTGCTGCCACAGTCCTGCTACGGCAGTGACACAAACAGGGCAGCAGTGCCAGCCCGCCCTTTGCTGGAGATCCACAGTGTCCAGCCAGCTCCCAAAACAGCAGCAGGAAGGGCTATAAATAATCACAGCATCTTTAAACAACCTGGGTAAGTGGATGGGCACTGGGAACACCACAGCATTTCATGCAAATGCTGAGGGTGAGGGTGGATTTCAAACACCCCTATTCACCTCCATCCTGGAATTCTGTAACACAGCAACGGGGACAAGACGTGCAGTGTTTTCTTTCCCAAGTCCCAGCTTTCATCTGGGAGCCCAAACTGAACACTCACCTCACTGTTAAAAGCCCACATCACCTTGTGCTCTCAGAGGGAGCACGTGAGCCAAACCTTTGAACACTGGCCAGCCCTGTTCCCACAGGGAGCACTGAAGGAGCAGAGAGAGCTGTGTGAGAGCAGTGGGGCAGAGAGACACAAAAAACAACCAGCTCAAACAACCCACGTTCAGCTGGAGCTGTGACCTGCCATGGCCACCCCACCAGGAATGATGGAATAGCTGCTGTTCCATCAGGAAACATCACATGGTTGGAGAGAGGAGACTGACAACCTCCAAGGACTATTGCAGCTGCTAAGAAAACACCTGCTAAGCTGAAGATGCAACAGTGAACTAGAGCACCCAGGGCAGCAGCCAACCTACAGTCTGGGAACCACCACAGGACAAGTTTTAGGCTCTGACCACCTCAAACTGCTAAAAGAGAAAGAATTTTACAACTTCACATGGGATTGTGAGGGGAAAAGCATTTCAAGTGTATTTTAAGAGCTCCTGACTTCAGCAGTTTCCATACAGAGTTCACAAAAGCTGGAATTAGGATTGTGACTGCTCTCTCCTAGAAGTCACCCACTCTGCCCAGACAAGATGTACCCACCAGAATTCCTTATGACAGAGGCCATACTTACTGTTCCAGCCAGGATATCATGGGGACAGCAATCCAGGAGGTGGCTCTTGCAAACACGATCGTCTGTAAACTTCACCCTTTGTCTGGTTTCATCTCCTGCAATTCATGTGTGGTTTAAATAAGGAGACATTAGAACACCAAGGGAACACAGGCGTGGGCATGAGCATTTCACCTCAAAATGCAGATTAAAATACTTGGTGCTCCTGCTCCCCAAATTTACTCAAAAAAAAAAAAAAAAAAAACCAAACAAAAAAAACCAAACCAGCTTAGAGTGCAACAGGATATTCTGGAACACTTATAATTGGCAACAAACACTATTTTAGCATTTATTCATCCAGGACACCATGTTAAACACAGTGCTGGCGAGCCAAGCAACGTCCAAGGCCTGTCATCCATATAAAGAGGCAGCACAGCCAGAAGAGCGAAAAGGAGACAGACAGGCTGGCTCCCAGCCAAAAACTGCTAATTTTTTTCCACCCCTTTTTTTTTTTTTTGTTTTGCTGTGAGGAAGGGGCAGGAGATACCAAACCCCACGGATCAGCAAACAGGGCTGTGCTGGGCAGTTTTTACAGGCAGCTGCTCTTTGCTCACGTGGTAACTAAGCCACCAGTCCTTTTGGTGTGGAACCCGACTATGCAGTGTGCTCTTCCCAGGCCGTGCAAAGGTGATCTTGGCCTGGAACACACCCACCCCCAGCCCACCCTCAGAGGAACATTTTACACTCAGGAGCCACTTAAAACGACACAATATCAGAAAAGCAAAAAAAAAAAAAAAAGAAAAAAAAAAAAAAGAAACAAAGTTAGTCAATACACACTGCGAGCTCCAACACATACTATACCCATCTGCATTCTTCAAGACCTCAGCTGCAGAATTTTATGCCCATTGTTGAAAAGTTTTAAAGGAAAAGCTTTCTTGCCCACACCTGCAGTAAGGAAGTCAGGGGAATGATACATAAAAGTAAAGGCAAAGTGGTAATGGTATGTGACAATTTTAAAGCTCATCTGTGCATATGACACAGGTATGTGTAATACTAAAGTATGGGAATAGTAAAGTATTAGGATTCACAAGCATCCAGGAATAATGTTGTGTCTACTGAATTTTTTTTTTTTTAATTTTTCTTTTCTTTCTAAGCTACACTTTTAAAGTTACTTGTGAAAAAAAAGCAAACACTTTTTTTTTTTGTTATAACAGCTTTAAAAATTGGTTGTGACTCACGGCTCGATGAACATGAGGCTTTTCTGCAACTCCCTTGCAGATTGATGTAGGCAGGCAAAGATACACTGAACCTTTATAAATAAAATAGAGGGGCCACAATTGTTCAGTTTGTATGAAATAAAAATATGGGAAGCAATTCAATAGCAACTCAATACACAGAGAAAAGAAAAGCACTTATTCACTTACGAAACAAAGTGCAAAGTGCCTGGACAGCCCTGCTAACGTGCCAAAGGGGATTTAAGTACCCAGCGAGTCGCAGAAGGGAGAACACAAACCGCAGCGGGGCCGTATTTTGCACGGGCTGTCACATTTCTGGTGCCGGACCGCACCCGGCGCTGCAGGCACACCTACCTAGTGCCTCTGGATGCGCGGGCACGGAGCCGGCCCTGGGCCTGCCCGCTCGGCCGGGCCCGGGGCGGCGGGGCTGGGCCGCGCCGGGCGCTCCCTG